TCCCCATTTCAGGAGGGTGGCCAGTGACGGTGCAGCATTGTGCTTAGCAGGAATTTATTCAACAACGAATGATGTTCCTGGTTTGCTCCCTCCTCACAGCTCAGAACAATCCCTTCCAAAGACCAGCTGGGCCTCCCAGTGCCTGGGGTCCAGCCAGGAGCCCTCCACGGGGTGGTGGGGAGGAGGAGGGACCATGCTGGCAGAGATGAATGGAGGAGGCCCCATTAATCCCATTGTTGTTTCACCTCCCACCCCACTCAGATATCCCAGCTTCAGTGATATCTATCCAAACATTCTCTCCAGATGCCCCTCCAACAAAATCCCCATGCTGCCAGGCCCAGCCTGCTGGCCAGTGTGGAGCTGTGTAAAGACCTGGCTCAAACTGGGCTAATCCCACTCTGTTCCAACCAACAGGACCCAAGGAAAGCTGCATGTGCTCTGCCAGCCCCTGCCTGACCTGGCAAGGCCAAGAGCTCAGGATCCCAGAATCCCCCAGCCCATCTGGGACCATTTTGGTCCATTTGGGAACATTTTGGCTCATTTGGGACTGCCCTCCACCTCAGACCTACAAATAGCTTTGCCTTCCCCCATGAGGGGTTGGCAGGAGGTGGCTGGGTCACTCTGCACTGGCACAGCACGATGGGGACAGGGGGTGCCACCCCAGCCCCCCCCAAACCCCGCTGCAGGCAGGGCACAGGCAGGGCTGGCTCAGCCCAGTGGGAGGCTGCGTTCCCCCAGCAACGAGCCCCTGGCTGGGCTCTGCACAGGCGGATTTTTAAATCCCAGCACGGCTGGCTGGCTGATGGGCTCCGCTCCCAGCTCGGAAGCCTAAATCCCAGCCGCATATTTACATTTAATTAGGAGGTGCCAAGCAGCAAAACACAGCAGAGGAAAGCCAGAGCGGCATGGCTGGGTTGCCTCGCCGTGTCCTGGTGGGACAAATCCAGCCCTGCCTCCCGCACCACAGCTGGGATGGGCCGGGCAGCCCCCCCTCCGGCATCACAGCCGGGACCAGCTCAGCTCCCAGAACATCCCCCGTGACGCCTGCCAGCCCTGCCAGCTCGGTGCCAGCAGGCAGAGACATTCCCAGGTGGATACAGCATTTCAACCTGGCTCTGCCCGGAGCCCCTGGAGCTACACAACCCCACGAGCATCTGAAGGGAGGGTGGGGATGCTGGTGACATCCAGGGGTGGAGGGAGAGGCTCCCTGTCTGATGCCTGTAGCTGGTCACACACTGCTTTAGTGAGATGCACAGGCCATGAGGGAAAGCCTTGGCATCACCCCTGAGGCCACCAGTGCCACTCCCCACCTCTCTGGGGCTACACAACCCCTTGATGATCCCAAGGAAGGTTCAGACCAGAGCTTCCCACCAGTTCCATGAGTGCCCAGCCTTGCAGGACTCCCCCTTCCCAGCCCCGGCAGCATGTCAGGAAAGCACTGGGAGAGAGGCGAGAGGAGAGAGGAGCACAGCAGGGACCTGGCCAGCATCCCAGACACATCTCCAGGCTGACAGGTCCGAACAGCTCAACCTGTCCTGTCCAATGTGATTTTAATCCAAAGATACAGATCTATTAACCCCCCTCGAGGGGAGGGGAGCTCGCCAAGACAGAGCCTAAACACGCCAAGGCACTCCAGACAGCTCAGCACCTCCCCTGCCCTGGCCTCACCCGCCCCAGGGGGGGTCCCAGTGACACCAACCATCCCCAAAACCTCTCATCCCCCAGGGTCAGTGCTCACCCTTCCTGGCCCGAGCCTGCCGGATCCGCCAGATGGTCTTGGGGATCTCGAAGTTGTAGTTTGGGGGCAGGGCCTTTGCCGCCTCCTGCAGCTCCGAGTTTCCAAGGATCTCCTCGGGGATCTGCTGTGCCACGTGTCGCACGGGGGCTCGGGCTGTGGGACAAACGGGGGAGGGGGCGCTAAAGGAGGGGCCAGGAGAACAGAGCACCCCACAGCCCATGGGCTACCATGCCAATCCCTGGGACAATCCCAGCGTCCTCGCTGCCCTCATGCCAATCCCTGGGACGAGCAGGAGGAGTCTCTGTGCTCAAACACCTCGGGACAAGCAGGAGAAGGGGTCTTTGTGCTCAGACCCTGTGGAACAAGCAGGGGAAGGGGGTGGGGTCCTACCCTTCACGCTGCGAGCAGGTTGTTGCTACTTTTTGGGAGGAAAAGAGGGGGTTTTAGCCCAGAAAGCAACACTGTAACCATGTGAAATCCTCTGAGTGCACACCACGCACAACCCCTCGTGCCTCATCCGCCAGTACCCCGGCGACACCCTAACGCACCCCTCCTTCCCCGGCAAGGGGATCCCGTTATCCCACCGGGAAAAAAAGCCATCAGCGGCGGGTGATCCATCCCCGGGGAGCCTCATCCTGAAGCCGCCCCCCTCCCAGCACCCGCCCCCCCCACATCTCGGCGATGCCAGAGAGCGGCGGGGGAGTGACAGCAGGGGGATTATTCACTATTTCCAGCCCAACACCGGCACTCATGAACCACCAAAAACTCTTCCCCGCACGGCCCACGGGACAACCGACAGAGGGCCAGCTGGGCCAGGAACGGCGGCGGGGGAGGCCCGGGACGGTGGCAGAGCCACAGTCCCG